GTAGTAATAGTAGCGAAGCATATACAGGATATTGAAAGGAAAGCCAGTGAAGCTGTAAAGAGAGTGAAGGCATGGCTATCATCAAGATATCTAGAACTCGCTGATCACAAAACAGAGGCAGTATTGATAAGTAGCAGAAAGGCCATAGAGACAATAAGACTCAGTGTTGGATCAGAAACTATAATATCAAAGCCCACGATCAAATATTTGGGGGTAATGATTGATGGCCGTTTAAACTTTAAGGTCCACCTGGAGTATGCAGCAAAGAAAGCATCGAATTTACAGGCATGCTTATCTAGAATGATGCCAAATATCGGCGGTCCCAAACATAGTAGAAGGGTATTGCTTAGTAGAGTGGTCAGCTCAGTCTTACTCTACGGTGCTCCAATTTGGGCTGAAGCAAAGAGCCTAAAATATCATGCGAAGATACTCACATCTGTGTATCGCCTAAGCGCACTAAGGACTATTTGTGGATTCCAAACCATATCTGACGAATCATCCTTCGTAATTGCCGGACTGATTCCCGTAGATATCCTGGCAAACGAGATGCAAAGAGTGTATAAGCGGGTATCTGCGGGAAGTACCAGTTTAAACCGAAAAGAAGTTATAGAGCAGGAAAGATGTCGCTCTATGGAGATCTGGCAAAAGCGTTGGGATGAATCGGAAAAGGGTAGGTGCACTCATAAGCTTATTCCATGCATTAAAAACTGGCTGGAAAGAGCTCACGGAGATTTAAACTACTACTTGACACAGTTTCTTTCGGGACATGGCCCCTACCGAGAGTATCTAAAAAGATTTGGGCATGGAGTTTCCCCACACTGTCCGACTTGCACAGGCCTTGCTGAAAACGCGGAACACATAGTATTCTTTTGCCCTCGCTATGCCCCTGAAACCCGAAATATACTACAGGGTAACAACATTGTAGACTACATGTTAGAATCAGCAGAGAACTGGCATAAAATGTGCGCACATATCTCTGGAATTCTTAAAGATCTAAGGCGATCTGAACAAGCTAGAACCGGTTAAATAACGTAGTGAGCCTGCTGGCCAACCAGCCCAGTGAGGTAATACCTTAAATGGCAGTGCCGCGGGGAGAGTGGTTAGTGGAGAGGTTTTAGTACGCAGGTGTAGCTGTGAGGCTGCAAGTCGTGCATACTACTATGCCGGTATAGTAGTACTCATGAGAGTTCCCTCTTCACGGGCGTCATCCCAGAAAAAAAAAAATAAAAAATACGTATGTACATATATATGTATAACGCTTCATTCTGCAAATAAGCATGAGCCTTTGTGATTACATCTGTTCTGCTCAACCACAAAGAAGGTGCTCATGTCATTTCCTTCCGTTTACTACTCGTACATAGTATGTATGTATATAACCCGTGAAGAGGGAACTCTCATGAGTACTACTATACCGGCATAGTAGTATGCACGACTTGCAGCCTCACAGCTACACCTGCGTACTAAAACCTCTCCACTAACCACTCTCCACGCGGCACTGCCATTTAAGGTATTACCTCAGATCGCCTTAGATCTTTAAGAATTCCAGAGATATGTGCGCACATTTTATGCCAGTTCTCTGCTGATTCTAACATGTAGTTTACAATGTTGTTACCCTGTAGTATATTTCGGGTTTCAGGGGCATAGCGAGGGCAAAAGAATACTATGTGTTCCGCGTTTTCAGCAAGGCCTGTGCAAGTCGGACAGTGTGGGGAATCTCCATGCCCAAATCTTTTTAGATACTCTCGGTAGGGGCCATGTCCCAAAAGAAACTGTGTCAAGTAGTAGTTTTAATCTCCGTGAGCTCTTTCCAGCCAGTTTTTAATGCATGGAATAAGCTTATGAGTGCACCTACCCTTTTCCGATTCATCCCAACGCTTTTGCCAGATCTCCATAGAGCGACATCTTTCCTGCTCTATAACTTCTTTTCGGTTTAAACTGGTACTTCCCGCAGATACCCGCTTATACACTCTTTGCATCTCGTTTGCCAGGATATCTACGGGAATCAGTCCGGCAGTTACGAAGGATGCTTCGTCAGATATGGTTCGGAATCCACAAATAGTCCTTAGTGCGCCTAGGCGGTACACAGATGTAAGTATCTTCGCATGATATTTTAGGCTCATTGCTTCATCCCAAATTGGAGCACCGTAGAGTAAGACTGAGCTGACCACTCTACTAAGCAATACCCTTCTACTATGTTTGGGACCGCCGATATTTGGCATCATTCTAGATAAGCATGCCTGTAAATTCGATGCTTTCTTTGCTGCATACTCCAGTAGTGCAATTCACTAACTTTTAACGATACGATTTGTCGAGGTCTAATATAACGATTTTTGTGGTTTGCAGTAACGATTGTGTTATTCGGTAACTCTTTTTTAACGACACCAAACAGCTGACATTTTCTTTTTATTTCAATACAAGAAAGGTGGCATCACAGCTTAACGAAACGTCAAAAAATGCGAAAAGCACAAAGAAGAATGACGAAAAACAAATAAATTCTTTGCTTGCATAGTGGTATACACATAGATTTCTGAATATTTTGATATACTTTTACAAAAAGTAAGTAAAATAAAACGTTTATTTATTTTGTATTATTAGACATAACCATTTTCGCATATTATAGAATGGCTTCGTCAGTACCCAATATTCAAAAGAGAAGCCGGACCACAGCAGAACAACTAAGTCGCATGGTGGACTTTTTGACGGAAACGCCGGGATTGGCAGGATCAAGGTTCCAGAAGCTTCATGGAAAATCGGACTGCGACAAGAAGTGGAGTGAACTAGCGTCAATGCTGAATAGCCTTGGTGGTTCGGTGAAGAACGTCGACCAATGGCGCACAGTATGTAAAAGTTGTTTAGTAATTTAATACCACGTTTAAAATTTTGTTTTGCAAATAGGTATGGAGGGATTTGAAGAGCCGTACTAGCATTAAGGTGCGTGATAGGAAACGAAAGCAGGCAATGACGGGAAACAATCCCATTAATGAAGAGCCACCCACTGAGCTTGAGAGGCGTGTGATTGCTCTTGTCGGTAGCGACTATGTGCAGGGCCATGAAACTGTTGCTGAAAGTGTGCCAGTGGAAGAGGTAAAAAGCAAATAAATAGTTATGAATAGCACAGCAGTTAACAATTCTTCTCATCATTAGGAACTCCAACTGCGTATGGAAGAGGGTGATGAAAGTGTAATCATCGAGATGCCATCTATTTCTCACGAAGTGAGCATTGAGATGTGCACATCGACTCCTGTAACTCCTGCAGGAAAAACGCCACGTAGAGGAGCCAAAAGAAGGCGTGTGGACGGTGGTACCGAGGCCCAAAAATCGTTTTTGGAAATCGCTCAGACCCAAGCAAATGCCTTAAAAGTAATTTACTTATTTGTAACTTTACATAAGTAAAATATCATGACATAGTTTTTTCGGTTCTTTTTCAACAGATGCTAGCAGAGTCGAGTGCAGCGAATGTACAAATAGCAAGTAGACAAGCAGATGCTTTGAAGGTAATTTTTTGTATATACTAAAAAATAGTATTACATTCGTATGCCCTTTCAACAGTTGTTAGCTGAAACAAGTACGGCGAGTGTGCAGGTAGCGAAATCGTTGGCCGAAGCTATGACCACAATGGGGGAAGGTTTAAAGGCATGTGCGGATGCCTTTAATAATTTAAGAAACGCTATCTACCGCATGTAAATATTGTGTAAATATGTAGTTTTTGAAGTATTTTTTGTTTTAATATTTATATTAGTTTTAAGCGTTTTAAATATAAGTTGAAGTTCTTTTTTGTTTTTATATTTATGTTAGAGTTAAGTTTTCATTTGATAGAGCATGAAGTTCATTTTTTTTTGTATTTATGTTAGAGTTAAGTTTTAATTCGACATATCATGAAGGTAACTTTTTACATTTAGAATAACTTTTAAAGATATTCGAAGATGAATTTTTACATATTTGAATTGATCTTTATTTGTTTTTAATAAGCGAGTTATTTGAAGTTCTTTTGATTTTCAAATGAATTCAATGTTTACAAATTTAGTTGATAGAGAGGTATACTGTACTTACTGCATGTAAGATATACCACATATATTTCTTATATACAATAAGTAATGAAATTTAATTTTGTGAATTTTTGTTTTAATTTTGTGATGCGCCTGTAACTTGAACGTGCCACACCATATCATATTATAGAAACTGATCTGTGATTACATACTGAGATCTGTCTTTTGATGGACCCTATATTAAATGAATATTTATATATATAATTCTAGACTTAAAAAAAATTTACTCAAATTAAAGACAAAATAAGACTGAGTTTTTATTTATGTACATAAAAATGTTTAATAAAATGCCAAAATAATTTTATTGTACTCCTTCTGAATTTTTATTAATCAACGTTTTATTCATGTAAAATAATTTGCAATTAGCCGGTCTTGGACGCGTTTTGCTGTTGAAGACGGCGCGTCTTGATTTACATTACTGCTATGTGTCCTTGGCTCTAGGAACTCAGTCTCGGGATCGTATGTTTGGTCACCCAATCGCAAGTTATGCAACACTGTGCAAGCATTTACTACTTTTCCAGTAAATCCAGGATCATACAAAAGAGTCCTTTGCTGAGATAAGCATCGCCAAGTTCCTTTGAGAACGCCAAAAAGTCTCTCGACTGGGTTTCGAGCTTTGCACAATGCCTCATTGTAGCGGAATTTAGGACTCCCTTCTGGTTGGTTTGGTAGAGGAGTCATCAACCACGGCTCCAAAGGATATCCTGAGTCACCTGCAAATATATATTGGACATTTTCAATTAAATTGATTTTAATAAATATGTTTCAGTGGATTTAAAAAGTTACCAATCAAAAACACGTTATGGTTTCCATTTTCAAAACTTCGCTGCATAACTCTCCGGACTGCAGAGGAGCTCCAAATAAATGAATCGTGTCGCGCTCCTGGGTATTTAGCATTGACAGCCAAAATCTTTAGATTTGGATCACATATCTATATTTGTATAAAATAAAATTAATACTCAGTAGTTTAACCCTTGAGCAAATTTTACTCTTACCATTTGCACATTGATAGAATGGTATCCATGGTGGTTGACATACGCTTCTTCATGATGCTTTGGGCTCATGATTGACACATGAGTGCAATCGATAGCCCCAATAGTACCTCCTACAAATGGTGCGGATGCTGAGGCGAAAATTTCTTTTGCAGCTTGCCGCTCTATTTGGGTCATTGGAAACCTAACCTTTGCCAAAAACATGGTGCGGTTTATTGCATCCGTTACGCGATGTATACAGCGACTTACGGACGACTGGCTCATGGATATCCCCCATTGCTCTCCGACTGGACGTTGATAACAGCCAGTTGCGAAGAATCGCAAGGCAGTTAGAACCTTTAAAATTTACAAAATCATTTAAAATTGAAAAATACTTGAAAATTACATTATTTACCTGTTTCTCTGTCGTTATCGCAGTTATTCTTCGACCCCTTAATTGGCTATCAAGCTGGGAAACAATATCTTCAACCAAGTCTGGGGTTAATCGGTAAAGGTTACGAAACTCAGTTGCAGCCAAGTCGAAAGGGTTGTCCACTTCTCGAAGCAAACGTCTATCCACTGATGAAGAGCTTATTATCTCCTCATCTTGGGATAAAACGTATGCCAAATACTCAAATGCCATTTTTAACAAAAAGTTTTTCTTTTATATATTACTTAAGTAAATTCGCGATCTATATTATTTTATTTTAACTCAAATGAAATATCAAATTTTCTTTTGTCGATGCCGCTAACAACTTCAAAATATTCGTCGTTTACTTAACGAGTAATCGAGTAGTTAACGACAACAGCTGATCAAGCGATAGCGAATATCGTTAAAATATGTTTAGCGAATTGTCAAATCGTTAAAATCGTCGTTAAGTTTTCTTAACGATTCGATAATCGTTAAAATAGAATGGCGAATCCCACTACAGGTGGACCTTAAAGTTTAAACGGCCATCAATCATTACACCCAAATATTTGATTGCGGGCTTTGATATTATAGTTTCTGATCCAACACTGAGTCTTATTGTCTCTATGGCCTTTCTGCTACTTATCAATACTGCCTCTGTTTTGTGATCAGCGAGTTCTAGATATCTTGATGATAGCCATGCCTTCACTCTCTTTACCGCTTCGCTGGCTTTCCTTTCAATATCCTGTATATGCTTCGCTACTATTACTACAGCTATGTCGTCTGCGAATCCTATTATTTTTGCCCGAGGAGGCAAATCGATGCATAGAACCATAGAACCTCGTCGTACATTAAGTTCCACAGGAGAGGCCCGAGAACGGATCCCTGGGGTACCCCCGCGGAAACACTGTACGCCTCTATTCCTCTGTCGCTCCGGTACTTTAGTTCCCGTTAGGAGAGATAGCACCTAATTATTCTGATAACGCAATTCGGGGCCTCCATTTTGATTAGGGTTTCCATTATGTGCTGCCAGCTCGCAGTGTTAAATGCGTTTTTCACATCTAGCGTTATAACAGCACAATATTCCTTTTTGCCTCCACGCCACCTTTTCCCTTCGATGGCCTCTTTGGCTATGTCAACCACTGATTTAACAGCATCTATTGTTGAACGAGATTTCGTGAAGCCAAACTGGTGTGGCGACAGAAAGCGTCTCTCTTCTGCGATCGATGTAAGCCTGTTGCAAATAATTTTTTCGAGGATTTTTCCCAGTGTGTCCAATAGGCATATGGGCCGATAGGACGAGGGTTCCCCAGATTGCTTATTTCCCTTTGGTATTAGGACTAAGTTTTGGACCTTCCATCTTTTCGGGAAAATGCCCTCATTAAGACAAGTCTGAAACACATTTACAAATAAATCTGGCCTCATTTCAATTGCAGCTTTTAAAGCCTTGTTGGGTATTCCGTCTGGCCCAGGGGCTTTTCCGTCTTGGATCTTCTTGCATGCGGACTCTAATTCGTTAACCGTAATAACTGGGACATAAACAATTTCGTATCGTGTACAGTTTGGTACGACTTCTTCCCTTTGTGGAAATAGAGTCGATATTATATCGCGCAGCCTTTCTGGGCACGTGATACTCGGTGCTTTCTTGCCCTTAGTTTTTGCCATTACTACTCTATAGGCCGTGCCCCACGGGTTTACATCCGCTTCTTTGCATATTTTCTTAAAGCTTTCACGTTTGCTTACTTTTATAGCGTTTTCTAAGCTCTTCCTCGCCATTCTTAGAGATTGTAGGTTTTCGTTGAAGTCTGGCCTCCCTCTGCTACGCTGCATTCTGCGTCTAGCACTCAGACACTGACGTCTAAGTATTTTTATATCGTTATTCCACCAATAGCATGGGGAATTTTGTTTCCTCACCACTCTTCGAGGCATAGCAGCATCACAAGCGCATGCGAGGTTACGAACCAGGTGGTCAACCTCGCTCTCTACCGAGCCAGCTTTGTGTTGGAACTCTTCCATCATGCAGACTAGGACCTCTCCATCTAACATACTGTCTTTCCATTTTGGGCCTGTCAGATTTGGCATCTGTTTGGGTCGCCTCAGAGTTATATCCATTATTATTGCCTGAAGGTCGCTGTGGGTATACTCCTCACTAACTCTCCAATTAATTTTTTGGGCCAAGGAGTCACTCGCCAGCGTTATGTCAATAATTGACCCAGTTCCCATTTTGCGGAAGGTGTATGTGGATCTGCTGTTTACTATTGATACGCCGAGTTGAGCAAAAGTTTCAAGCAGCAGCTCGCCTCTTTTATTTGTTAGTCTGCTTCCCCATTCTGTTGCCCACGCATTGAAGTCACCGGCGATAATTAGCGGGGATTTCCCGTTTGCTTCTTCAGCAATGCTACGCAGCATAAGGGTATACTCTTCTTTTGTAAGGCTAGGTCTTGCATAACAACTAAAAAATGCTAATTCCGTTTACCTCAGCTCGAACGAAACCTTCACCCATGCTGTGCCTTCCTTGAAATGCGAGTCCACCACAGAGCCATATAGCTGCACCCTGTTTACTATCGCAAACCCACGCACAGTCATCTTTACACCTATAAGGTTCACTTATAATCGCCATGTGTGCCTGAAGATCCCTTACTGTTTGTGATAGTAGATCTTGCGCTGCTTCACAGTGATTGAGGTTTATTTGGACTATTCTAATTTTTTCCTGTTTGTAAGAGCTTTCTTAAAAACTGGGCATCTATAACTGCCTGTAATATGGTCTATTTTCTCTCTCTTTTCCGCTCTACACAGAATACACTGTGGATTATTTTTACAATCTTTAGCGAAGTGCCCCTCAGTGCCACACTTTCTGCACTGATTCGACCGGTCAAATGTGCTACCGCAATTACGGGACATGTGGCCATACTGAAGGCATTTAAAGCATTTTTTCAGCTGGACCCTTTCGCGGATGCGACAGTTATCCCATCCTACCTTTACTTTCCCAAGCTGTATAAGTTTCTTAGCTTTTGGAGCAGGTAAGCTAATAGTACCTGTTTGAGTGCCAGCATAAGCAGGGCGCATACCAGTTATATCTGAACTCTCAATACCTTCAGGACCAGGCAATGATTTAATAGCATTGTATACCTCTTCTTTGGTTGTAACCTCATCGATGTCTTTACATTCTACCAGGATTCGGTGAGTAAATGTCTTTACCGAAACATCGTCCCGTAGGGAGCACTCACAAGGGCCTTTAATTCCGCCGACTTTGGGCATGATTTCGCGAGTTCGATAAGAAGATCGCCTTTCTGGGTGCGTCGTATTTTGGATACGGAATCCCCGAAACTCTTAAAGTTCTCATCACTCTTAACCTTTTTTAGGATGTCGGCATACGAGCTTTCACC